TCTGCTCCCATAAAGATTTACAGCTTCGGAAACCCTATACAAGATCATTATGAGTCAGAACCGAACACACACACACACACACACACAAAGAGTTTGTTGAAAATGGAATGAAAAGATCCTGGAATTTTTCTATGAACTTTTTAAAGCCCTCCCTCCCCCCGTATACACACACAAACATATTTCTATTCTCAAAATCAAGACTAAAAATTAAATGCAGAAACACAGTCTGTTGCTGGCACTAATGACCACACGCAGCACAGAGACTTGCAGAGGGCTCTGCCATCAGATGTGTGACAGCTTCCTGCCTTCCATGAGGGCTAGCTTACATTCCTAAGGCTTCTTTTCACACTAAGGGCATTTTCCTTTAATAATTAGTGAAGTGGTTCAAAAATTGCATTGTATTTGAGATGTGCTATGAGGAATATGGGGAGTCCTTGTATGGTGTTGTGGGTTAATGTGTCAGACTGTAAAGCCGTTTGAACTGCAAGGTCAGCTGCTCCTCAGAAACCCTATACAGGATCACTATGGGTCAGAACCGACTCAACAGCACTTCACAACAATAACAAGGAATCTGGAGTCCTGGTGTGGTGCTGTAAGATAAACATTGGACGGCAAGGTGGTTTGAATCACAAGGTTGACGGTTCAACTCACCAGCCCCTCCTTGGAAACCCTATACAGGGTTGCTATGAGTTGGAATTGACTTGATAGTACTTAACAACAGTAAAAATAACCTAGAAAATTGACATTTTTTCATTTGGATGAAATCATAAAAGGGAGGATAAAAGAGTTCTCCCTCTTCCACCTTGGAAGTATGTAGTAATATTTGTAATGAAAGTGAAAAAATGGTTGGGGGCCCAACTGTGCATCACTGTCTAGATTCTGTAGTGCTATTTTATAAAAGACACACTTTCCCTTATATTCTCTTCGGACTACACAAACCCACACACTTCTCTCTCATTTGGGCCCACATCATCTTCCTTCTCTTTTTTCCCACTTCTTGCAGCATCACTTACGTCTTTTTCCCTCTCCCTAGTCTTTAAATCTCACCAGCTGCTCCTTGGAAATCCTACACAGGGTCGCTATGAGTCAGAACTGACTCTACGGCACTTAACAACAACAACAAAGTCTTTAAATTATGCTACATGAGAAAATAAAAAGCAGGCTGAGGAAGTAGCTACCTGCCTGTCATTCCTCAAGCATGGATAACAATGTAGATAAAGTCAGTCACAAAGTTACAGTACAAAACATTCCCCACAAGGACACACTGCTGTAAAACATAATAGTCCCTTTCTTTGAGTGACATACTTGCTTTTAGTGACTTTATCAGTTGCTGTTGATTTTAATTCATGGCGATCCATAGAGTTTTCAGTGATGAATTTCTTTGGAAATAGATTATCAGGCTTTTCTTCTGAGGTGCTTCTGGGTGGATTCAAAGCTCCAACTTTCCAGTTAACCATTTGTACCACCCAGATACTACTAGATGTGAATAAGATGTTTCTAAATAGAAAATTCCAGCATCTAAGGAACCAAGTTCTGGATCTATTCCCCAGGCTAAAGGTGCTGCTGATCCCTTTATATAGTGCTCTACTTTGCTTTGAGTCTATGAAAACTGCTGAATTTGTCGGGGTTTTTTGTTTTTTTTAACCAAAATCCCATACTTCCCCAAACACTGCAAGTATTTTGGTTTTCATTTGTTTGGGGAAATGCCCCTATTTCTTTCGGTGTGCAGGTTTCCTTGTTGTGACAAGTCCATATATCGACTTTGTAAGACTACAGGCTTGTCCCCACTAGTATTAGGTTGATTGGGCTAAGACGTATGTGACTCTTTTCTCTCTACCACCCTAATTTATTTCTCTCTCAGTCTGGGTGTCCTAACGGCACCATTTCCATCAAGCCCACACCCATTAATAATCTTTCTTCTCAGACAGCTCCACCTTCCACCCGCCCCCCATTTCCGCATGAAGACACTCACCAGGCAAAAGCTGAGTCCTACTAACAGTCCAACACCAAAAACGACCGCAGCCAGAGACGTGAGGGCGATGCTCCAGGCCTCTAAACATCTACTGGCTTTAACCACGGTTGTTGATGTGTGGCTCACATTAAGCCAGTTTATGTCTGTGGTGTCTGAGCTTATTTTACGGGAGGTGGTGTTGGTTTCAGGAGTGGTGGTTGGTTCATGGACAGATATCCCAGTGGTCCTAATATCTGGGACTGAAGTGGTAGATATTTCAATAGTGGATGTACCCAGACCAGCAGTATTTGAAGTTGTTCCAGGGAGGCTACTGCTGGTAGCAGAGACTGTAGAATCCACTCCCGAGGTTGTGGTGACAGAGATGGGGGTGGTCCTGATACCTAGAAAACAAGTCATACAATATGATGCTTCTATGTTGTTGTTGTTGTTAAGTGCCGTTGAGTCGGTTCCGACCCATAGCGACCCTGTACAGGGTTTCCGAGGCTTCTATAGTAAAGATAATTTAAAAGGAAATGGGTGTACTTAGAGCAGAGGTAGAAACTAAATGAAAGAAAGATGAAATGAAAATTAAACCAAACCCACAGTGTTAGTAAGGTCCTTGAGTGGTACAATGGTTTGCAACCAACTGCTAACTTAAAGTTAACTACTAACTTAAAGAAAACAAAAATCCTCACCACTGGACCAATAAACAACATTCTTATCAACGGAGAAAAGATTGAAGTTGTCAAGGACTTCATTCTTCTTGGATCAACTATCAACACTAGCGGAAGCAGCAGTCAAGAGATCAGACGATGTATTGCATTGGGCAAATCTGCTGCACAGGAACTTTTTAAAGTATTGAAGAACAGAGATGTCAGCTTGAGGACTAAGGTGCGCCTGACCCAGGCCATTGTGTTTTCAATAGCCTCATATGGATGCGAAAGCTGGACAGTGAATAAGGAAGATCATAGAAGAATTGATGCCTTTGAGTTGTGGTGTTGGAGGAGAATACTGAAAGTGTCGTGGACTGCCAAAAGAACCAATAGATCTGTTTTGGAAAAAGTGCAACCAGAGTGCTCCTTGGAGGCCAAGATGGCTAAGCTTCGTCTCTCCTACTTTGGACATATTGTCCGGAGGAAACAATGGTTGGAGAAGGATGTCATGCTGGGTAGGGTGGAGGGTCAGAGAAAAAGAGGAAGACCCCCAACGAGATGGATCAGCCAGGTGGCATCATTGATGGACTCAAGTGTGGCAGCGGTAGTGAGGTAGCTGTGCATGGGGTCGCTATGAGTTGGTTCTGACTTGATGGCACTTGACAACAACAACAACAACTAACTTAAAAGTTGGGAAGGCCTGAACCCACCCAAAGGTGCCACAGTATAAAGGTCTAGGAGTCTTCTTCTATAACAGCCAAGAAAACCCTATGGAGCAGTTCTCTGTAACACATGGGGTCATTATGAGTCAGAATTACGCTTCTTTGTCTTCTCTTTTTTAGATAGTGGTGGTGTTTTGAGGAGAAGTGTTGTAGTGGGAGGAGATATGGCAGAGAGTGATTCAGTGATTCATCTGTGCCCACAAAGCTGAGTGTCTTAGAGAAGAGAAGGTACAATAATATGCTCACTGATAGTGGTGATGGTGGTTGGTGGTTATGTGCCGTGGAGTCGGAACCGACTCATAGCAACCCTGTACAGGGTTTCCGAGGCTGTAAATCTTGATGGGAGCAGAAAGCCTCATCTTTCTCCCATGAAACAGTTGGTAGTTTCAAACTGCTGACCTTAAGGTTCGCAGCCCGATTCGTAACCACTACGCTACCAGAGCTCCTTGATACTGGTGATAGATAGCAGAGGCTAAATTAAGTTCAGAAGTGGGAGATCTATTAGTTTTAGAAGGATCCATCCAAATGGAAATGGATGAGCTGGTATTAAAAAATGGGAAACACCTGGCTCTTATTGTGGTAGTGGCTGGAGTGTCAAAGGCTTGCTGGAGAAGAGATGATGGACTCAAATTCACTTATGGGTGCATCAAGAACCACAGCTGGGAGAAGAGGTGGTATTATCGAACATATTTGTGACTGGGACCACCACTCATCTATCAGTTTGGTATACTATGGTGGCGTGTGTATTGCTGTGATTCTGGAAGCTATGTCATCAGTATTTCAAGGACTAGCAAGGTCTTCCATGGTGAACATGGCTCAACAGAGCCTCCAGGCTAAGAAGGACTAGACAAAATGATGGTGATTTACTTCTTTTTTAAAAAATTGGCCAGTGACAACCTTAAGATAACAGTAGAACATTGTTTGATACAACACCAGAAGATGAGCCCCTGAGGTTGGAAGGATCTCAAACTATAACTGGGGAAGAGTTGTCTCCTGAAAGTACCAGAACATCTGAAAGCAACCCTTTAGCAATACCGTTCAGCAGAGAAGAACTGTACATCCTTAAAGGAGCAGACAGCCTCATCTTTCTCCATGGAGCTGGTGGTGGATTTGAATCAATAACCTGTGGTTAGCAGCCCAATACTTAACACACTATCCCATCAGGGCTCCCTCCCTCCTCAAGGTACAGTCAACCTTAATGATGTGAATAGAGTAAAACTTTAGGATCTTCATTTACTGATTTGACAGGACTCAAAATGAGAAGAAAACACTGCAAACATCCATTAATAATTGAAACATGGAATGTACAAAGTATGAGTCTAGGAAAACTGGAAGTTGTCAAAAATGTAATGGAACACATAAAGATCAACATTCTAGGCAACAGTGAGCTGAAATGGACTGATATTGGTCATCTTGAATCAGACAATCATATGGTTTACTATGCTGAGGCTGACAGATTGAAGAGGAATGGTGTCACGCTCATTGTCATAAAAAAACATTTCAAGATCTATCCTGAACTACAGGGTATTAAAAAGCAATGATAGGATACCATCCACATACCTAGAAGGAAGACTAGTTAATACAACCATTGTTTAAATTTACATACCAACCACTAATGCTAAAGATGAAAAAATTGAAGACGTTTACCAACTTCTGCAGTCTGATATTGATCAAATATCAATAAGCCTAGCTCAATTCATCTCTTGTACTTTGGACATGTCATCAGGAGGGACCTGTCCCTGGATAAGGACAATCATGCAAAACAGAAGTCCCTCAATGAGATGGCTTAACATAGTGGCTGAAATAATGGTTGTGAGGATGACACAGGACCTGGCAGTGTTTTGTTTTGTTGTACGTGGCACTGATATGAGTCAGAACTGACTTGACAGCACCTAGTAACAACATGTTTGGAACATTTAGGGAAGAACTTGAACCAAGAGAGCGGGTAGGTCACAGAGACAGAAGTGGGTAGACTCAGAGCCAAGAGGATAGAGTCTAATAGAGCAGTTGTGGTGATGACTTTGGTAGTAATGATTGTACGTAGATTAGAAATGGTAAAAAATACGATGCAAGACTAGTGTGTCCGCCATGGGAATTGAAGTGGATGCGCTGAGAAACAAAGGAAGTAGGATCAGATCCAATGCAAGTAGTGATAGAAAGAGAAAAACTGATTTTATTGAAAGCCAAGTAGCAGAGTCTGAAAAAACATTATTTTGGTGTTTGGACTAGATCAGCTGTTGGCTGAATTTTTCTAAAGTGCTAGATAATAAATATTTTAGGATTTTCCTGGTCATACAGTCTCTGTCGCAATTATAGAGTAGCTAGTAGCTGGAAAACAACTCTAGGTAATATTAAACAAACGGGCATGGCTGTGTTCCAATAAAACGTTACTTTAAAAAACAGGTAGCGGGTTAGACTTGGCCCACAAGGTGTGTTTGCTAGCTCCAGGACCAGGAATCAGTATGTTGAATATTCCAAGACAGTGGTGTTACAAGCGGTGGGTTAAAATATGTTAATTTACTTGTCACAGTAGTGAGAGCAGATGACAAAATTGTGATGGTTGTCAACAAACTTGAGGTGGTTTTGCTGTAAGTAGATGTGACAGAATATAATTAACTTGTTGTCAAGGGCAGTATTTGTAAAGAGATGTTGCTGATTGAAATGAAAGTGGCAGACATTAAACAAAGGGATAAGAGAATATAAATAAGGAGGATTCAAGGAGAGGGAGCAGAGTTATGTCTAAGCTATGGTGGATAGACTAGAATCTACAGCAGAGAAAGCAGAAATGGAAAAACAAAGAAATGGTGACTGTCACTGTTTGTGTGCTAAGAGAAGATGTGGTGGTTAATACCTGATACAACTGTGTGGATGGATTGAGTCGAAACATCAGTGAACTCACTGGTTGTGGACACAAAGGTGCTGTCAGAGGCTGTGAAGAGTCCGGAGATGCTGATGGAGACTGTGGTAGAAGCCAAAATAGGTGATGGGTCCCAGGTGAAGTCTGTGGTGACACTAGAGACGGTGGTGGGTACAGAAGGTGAGGTGGAAGCATTGGTGACCCCAGAAGCTGTGAAGGAAAACATGGTGGGCATGGATGTTGAAGTAGATACTGTGGTGTTCTTAAAGTCTGTGGTTGAGGCAGTCAGATGCTCAGAAACTCTGATGCTGTTTGTAGTGGGCACTGTAAAAGTGAGCAAATTTGGAGGGCGCTCAGGGTTTAATGTAGAGGCTGTGGAAAGTATGGAGGACTTGGTAGTCTTAGGGCCTAGGGTGGAGGTTATAGTGGTGACAGATGCTGTTGTGGATGGCATGATGGTTGTAGAGCCTATGGTGGAAGCCATGCTACTAGCAGGTTCTAATGTGATATCAGAGGTTCTATTGGAGGACATAGTGATCATAGACATTGTTGTAGAGGACACTGTCCTCTCCGAGGCTCTGGTGGAGGTCAGGTTTGCTTCAGAGTCTATGGTGGAGACTGTCTTGGGCACACGTCCTATTATGGAGGAAGTGATGGCCCTAGAAACTATGGTAGAAGCTACAGAGGGCTCAACATCTGTGATGGCTTCAGAGGCCAAGGTGGAGGCTGTGGCAGTTTCAGAGGCTGTGGTGGAGAACAAAGTGGTCTCAGAGGCTGTCGTGGTGGCCATGATGGGCATAGTCTGGGAGTCTGTGATGGTTTCAAAGACAGAAATGTAGGCAGTGGTGGAGACGTTGGTGGGTAAAACGCTCTCAGATCCTGGTGTGGAGCTCAGGGTGGACACAGACACTGCAGTAGTCCCTGGGGCTGTGGTTGTTTCAGACGTTATGGAAGAGGACGTGATGGTCTTAGAAAATATTCTCTTGAGTGTAGTGGGCTCTGAGTCTTTGACGGAGGCTTTGCCGTCCTGTAAGTATGTCTTGGATGATACAGTATACCTAGAAAATGCAGTAGAGGATGTGATAGGCTCAGAGGCTGAGGTGGGCTCAGAGGTTGTAGTTGTCCCTGAAACACATAAATTTTTAAACATATAGGTCACCAACTTTTTCAATATTGATGTTTAATTAGGAGCATTGTGCATATCTGTTTTTCTTGTTTAAGTCAGCAAAGCTATTAATGTCTAGATTGCAGTTATCCTTTTATTTGGAAACATTTATTTTAGAGGGTTATTATGGACTGAATCATGTCCCCTCCAAAATATGTGTTAACTTGGCTAGGCCACGATTCCCAGTATCGTGTGATTGTCCTCCATTCTCTCATCTGATATAATTACCCTCCAGTCTGTAACGGGTTGTAAAGCCTAGCCTCTATATGTTAATGAGGCAAGATCAGTGTCATGCATCGAGTCACAGCCTCACAAGAAGAGACACCCTACCCTTACTCAAGTCTCACCCTTGCCTGAGTAACATCTTTTATCTTGTTAAGCCCGTTTTGACTCATAGCGACCCTACATAGGATTTCCCAGGCTTTTTTAGATCTTTGGAGGAGCAGAAGATTGATCTTTCTCCCGAGCAAGAGCTAGTAGGTTCAAACCACAGACCTTATGGTTCACTGTCTAGTTCTTATCCTATAGAGTCCCCGGGCACTTCATCTTTTATCTTACAAGGAATAAAAGCAGAGAGAAGTGAGCAGAGTGGGTAGGAACTCACTACCACCAAGAAAGAAAAGCCTGACGCCGGATATGTCCTTCTGTACTCATGGTTCCTGCACTAAGAACCTCCTAGATCAAGTAGAAAGAGCTCTGGTAGCGTAGTGGTTACGAATCGGGCTGCAAACCTTAGGTCAACAGTTCGAAACTACCAGCTGTTCCGTGGGAGAAAGATGAGGCTTTCTGCTCCCATAAAGATATACAGCCTCGGAAACCCCGTACAGGGTCACTATGAGTCGGAACCAACTCCACGGCACATCACCACCACCACCACCACCAGATCAAGCAGAATGGAGTCATGGTGTGGCACTAAACTGTTAACCACAAAGTTGGCAGTTCAAACCCACCAGTTGATCTTTTGAAACCCTATACAGGTCGCTCTGAGTTGGAACCAACTCAATAGTTCTTAACAATAGATCTAGGAGAAGATTAATGCCAAGACACATGGAGATCTCCAAGGAACACATTTCCCTAGAGGTGACAAAGAAAGCCTTCCCCTATAACTGCTGCCCTGAATTCGGGTTGCTAACTTATGAGAGAACAAATCTCTGTTTGTTAAAGTCACTCACTTGCAGTGTTTCTGTTATAAGAGCTACAGATCTAAGACAAATTTCAAGTATTGGTAGTTGCTTCTTCTTCTTCCCCACCGCTTTTGGAGTATGTGGCTTCTATGGGCCTGATTACTGATTTAACTGTCTGTATGAAACAAGTCCTGGTGTGGTATTATGGCATAAGCACTGGACCACAAGGTCAGTTTGAACTGCAAAGTCAGAGGTTCAAACTCACCAGTCGCTCATCAGAAACCAACTCACTGGCACTTTAACAACAACAACATTAAATGAATAAGGAGCTCTGGTAGCATAGTGGATTATGAGCTGAGTGCTAACCACAAATCAGCAGTTCAAATCTATCAGTCGCTCTGCAGAAGAAAGATGGGGCTTTCTGCTCCCAAGAAGGTTTAAAAACCTGGGAAATCCTACACAGAAGTCGCTATGAGTAGGAACTGACTCGAAGGCACTTAACAACTATGGGTCTGTGGTATTTAACAACAATCTTTATGAAAGCAGAATGCTAGGTGGGTTTCAAACTTTCAACTTTTCAATTAGTAGACCAGCACAAACAGTTTGTACCACCAAAAGACCTTGAACAGAGACAGTCAAGGGCAAATTCTCTTGGACATTTTGGGACTTTTCTGTACACTGTGCAAAACCTGAGCAAAGCCTGCAGGTTTTAAGGTCTAAACTGAGAGCAACAGCTGTGAAGTTTAGATGAGGCCAAATTTTATAGGGTCTCTTCATGGAGTCAAGTTCAGAGTTGATGACTTAAAGTTCTCTCAGTAGAGAGACACTACATAAAGCTAGGGGGAAAGATTCTTGGGATGGTATCTCTCTCTCTATTTTTTTCTCTCTTTTTTTTTTTGAAGTACAAAGTAGAAAGTAGTAGCTCTGGGAATGGACTAGGGAAGAATCTGAGAAATTAGTCTCGGTGTCCCTCTTCTATGCACTCTTCACAAACACACTTCTCATTCATTCATTCAAAACTATTCCTTAATAAACATCAATATGCCAGTGAGGTCCCTGAGTGGCACAGTCTGTGAGTTGGCACCAACCTGAGACTCTTGTGGTCTTCTCATCTGAGAGGATCTTGTTTTGAGGGGTTTTGCTCTTCTCTTTGGCTTTTCTAATTTCTGCTGAAGTTCTTGTGGTCTTCTCATTGGCTGAGATTGTCTTGTTTAAATTTTTTTTGGTCTCTCCGTTGCCTCTTCTGGTCTTAAGGATTGATGTGGTCTTTTCTGAAGTTTTTGTGGTCTTTCTATTGTCTGAGATGATCTTGTTTTGATAGTTTGGGGTCTTTGGTTTGGCTCTGCTAGTCTTTTTAAGGATCGATGAGGTCTTTTCTGGGTATTTTGTGACCTTTACTAGAGGTCTTGTGATTTTCTTACTGGTTGAAATGGTCTTACTTGGATATTTTTTGGTCTTCGCTGTGGCTCTCTTGATCATCTCAGAAGCCAATGTGGTCTTCTTTGTGTTTTTTGTTAGATATCTGGAAGTTTTGTCTGAGGGAAATTTAGTTCTGGAATTAATAGCTGTTCTTGTGTCTCCTTTGTTTTTTGTAACCTTGTATGATGTCCCTGTGGCTATTGTATTCTTTCCTGGAACTTTCCTCATTTTCCCTTGAATGTTTTTTGAGAAAGATGTGGGATGTTTCCTTGTCTTTAAATTGACTGAGTTGAGTAAAGAAGTCATAGCATTGTATGAGGTTGTGCTTTTATTACCGAAAGTAGTGACGATCTTTTCCAAAGTTTTTGCTGAGTTTCCTCTAATTGTTGGTTTTGTTATGGTGAACTTGAGAGAAGCTGTGTTCCTCTTGGATATTCGGGTTGTAGATTTTGTATCAGAAGTCCATTTATGATTGTGAATGGGGCGAGCAGAATGAATAGAACGTCCTTTCAGGATAACTGTGCCTTTTCCTTGATTCCTAGGGTTTTGTTCAGAAGTAGTAGGAACCCCTTGATGAGTGGTAGAGTTCTTGTGGTCTATAGTTTGGGACTGTTCTATAGGCTTGTGACTAGGTTTGAGATAACGTGTGATATTGCAGTAGTGTTTTGGTTTATGGATTTCTATAGATTTAGAGGGGTCTAGGGGGCTGTGTGCAGAATCAAGAGCAGTGTGCTCATGGGAAATAAGGAGGACTAAAGGGTCAGATGTGGTGGATTCACCAGTTTTCTGAAATTTCTGTAATGTGGTAGCACCTGTAGAGAAAAATAAAACAAATAAGAAACTTCCATTGTATTTCTCCCTGTCTCCCTCCATAGCTAGATTTCTCAATCCCTTTATTCTTCCCAGTTGGTCTCTTCAGACTACTATAATACTATAATATCCAAGCCTCACTCTCACTTGGAACTTTCTAGTCTCTGGACTTTTGCTCAGGTTGTATCTTCTGCAATATACCTTTCCCCCGTCCCCATCTCTACCCTTTAGCTCTCAACCACAGATCCTGATGGCTTCATAGCATCTTTCCTGATCCCTCCAAGCAGATAAGGTCGAGGATCATCTCAGTGCTTCAACACTTTGTCAATTATTCTTTCCAGCTATCTTCAATTTGACATTGTAATAGTTTCTGTGCTTGCCAATTCCTACTTCCTACCATGCCTATCAAATTGTAAGGTTTTGAGAGCAGATACTGACTGACACTTTTCTTGTAGGTGTTCCTTTATGGTTTATACATTTATGGAATGGAGTCCCCTGGGAGGGCTGAGAAGTAAAAGAATACATAGCACCATTTCCATCTTTCCCTAACAGTCAAACTCCATCCCAAATTCAACAGTGTGAGAGACTGAGGTCAAGTTCTGAAAATTCCCTTATGTTGCTCTTGTTAAGTGTCCTTGAGCTGGTTCTGACCCTGTATAGAGTTTCCGAGGAATACCAGGTGGGTTTGAACTGCAGACCTCGTGGTTACCAATCCAGTGCTTATCCTACAGCACCACACCAAGTAACAGACATGGGTGGTGAGAGAAGGATAGGAGGAAAATGGAGAGTGGATGGATGAAGAAGATGAGAGACTTTCATTTTGGTGGTGAAGTTTGGTCTTGATGCAGGGGAGTGAGTGAGATTACTCAACCCTTGTAGTTTCTCCACTAAGACCCCCTCTTCACACACTTTTAAGGCAGATGGGAAAATAGGAGACTGGACTTGTTGAAAGGAAAAGATGTTTGTTTGGGAGTTCTAACCAGAGTGAATGAGGCAACTGGATTCTGGGAGGGACTGATTGTGTTTAAGTACAGGGTGTGAGGTAAAACACCCCTTATCAATGGACAGATATGGGAATCCTGTGGGAAAATAATTGGATGGGGACAGAGGAGATATCTCTAATATCTGGCCAGAAGATTGAGAGTCAGGAGATCACCAAAAAGTGAGAGAGATAGTGTTGTTACATAGCTAAGATTTCCAGTCTCTGTTTGCTCGAGGTGGAGACTGGGACCTGGACCTGATCCCAATTGCAGGAACCACAGTCCACCCACCTCATTGCCAACATGGAGAGTTGACGGCTGGCAACTCAGTCCTTGAAAGAAATAGAAATGAAAGTACAAAGTGAAAGTAATAGAGAATCCCAAGTTCCTGTAGGGCATTGAGGTTGGAGGGGAAGAAGTCTGAACTATTAGGATCTCATTCTCCTATGTTGTTGTTGTTAAGTACCGTGGAGTCAGTTCCGACTCATAGTGACTCTGCACGGGGTTTCTGAGGCTGAAAATCTTTGCAGGAGCAGAAAGCCTCATCTTTCTCCCACGGAACAGCTGGTAGTTTCGAACTGTGGTTCATAGCCCGATTCGTAACCACTACGCTACCAGAGACCACCATCCAATTCCCTTGGCAGCAATACCAAGAATTAAAAACTAGTTGTCCTTCAGTTGATTCTGACTGATGGTGATACCATGAGTGTCAGAGTAGACCTGTGCTCCACAGCGTGTTCAGTGGCTGCTTTTTCAGAAGTAGATCACAAGACCTTTCTTCCCAGTACCTCTGGGTGGAGGCAGGTGGACTAGAACATCCAACCTTTCACTAAGCAGTCAAACACATTAACAATTTGCACCATCCAGTGACTCTAACACCAATAACAGTTATGATTAGGCACCTTCTCTGGGCCAGGCTTCATAGCCATTATTTTCTATAGTGATTGATCCACCAAGTCCCCCATAAATGTCCAACCCTCTTATTTTATGGCTGATAGATTTTAAGCGAGTGTTATGGATTGAAGTGTGTCTCTCCAAAATTGTTGTTGGTGTTAAGTACCTCCGAGTAGGTTCCAATTCATAGCGACCCTGTATAAGGTTTCTAAGGAACAGCTGGTGGGTTTGAACTGCCAACCCTGCGGTTAAGCAGTCCAGTGCTGATCCTACATTACCATGTAAATCCTAACTTCTCTGCCTGTGGTTGTAATCCTATTTGAGGATGGGTTGAGACAGGATTAGTGTGTAGGACTCAAATGTCTTGAGTCCATTTCTTTTGGGATATAAAAGAGATTAAACAAGCAAGTCAGTGAGCAGAGATAGAGGAAGATAGATGTCAAGACACAAGGAGATCTCTAAGGAATCATGAAGCAGAAGCCAGAGAATCATCAAGGACCTTCCTTTAGACAAAGAAAGCCTGTCCTTAGAGCCTGATTGGTTAGGGTGGACATCTAACCTCCTAACCTGTGAGAGAAGAGATTTCTGTTTGTTAAAGCTATCGACTTATGAACATTCGGCTAGAGGAGCACCAGACAACTTTACAGCAAAAACAAAGTTACAGCATTTGTAGTTGCTTCTTCCTCCTCCTCCTCCACTTCTCCTCCTGCCCTGTCCCTACCCCTCACTGCAGAGTATGTGGCTTTTATGGGTCCAATTACTGATTTAACTGTGTGTTTGTATTAAATGAATACATTATTTCATCACTCTGTCTTGCACTTTCTCATTTCTTCTAGAATTTTGCTAATCAGAGTCATATATTTTTGAGGTCATTAAACTGGGATAGTTGAATATAACTCATGTTAAGGAAGAAACACAAACAGAAAATTCTCATCATCTCTGTGTGAGTTTTAATACTAAGGATTGTTGTTGTTATGTGTCGTGGAGTCGGTTCCGACTCATAGCGACCCTGTACAGGGTTTCCAAGGCTGTAAATCTTTACTGGAGCAGAAAGCTTTATCTTTCTCCTGCGGAACAGCTGGTAGTTTCGAACTGCTGACCCTGAGGTTAGTAGTCCGATTTGTAACCACTATGCTACCCGAGCTCCTTAATACTAAGGATAGTTGAAGTTTAAAGGGGGGAGAAAGATGGCATCTTAAAAAATAGAGATAATCTGTAATGATCCTTAATCTGGAAGGATTCCTTTCATCAGGTGGAAGGAAGATCACAAGAAATAGGAGGGCAGCTTAAACAGAGACCAAAATAGCCAACTTTTGCCATCCAGTCAATTCTGACTCATAGCAATCCCATGTGTTACGGAATAGAGCTGCCCCATATGATTTTCTTGACTGTAATCTTTATAAAAGCAGATCACTGGATGGGTTCAAACTGCCACCTTTTCAGTTAATAGCCCAGCATAAGCTGTATTACCCAGGGACTTTGAGCAGAGACACTCAAGTGTAAATCTTGAGTACACTGTAGAAGCCTGAGCAAATCCTACAGGTTTTGATGCCTAAACAGAGCAACCAGGATGTAAAGTTCAGATGAGGCCAGATTTTATAGGTCTCCTTCTGGGGTCAAGTTTAGCGTTGATGACTTAGTTAAAGTTCTCTCAGTGGAGAGTCAGTATGTAATGCTAAGGAGAAAGATCCCTGGGATGATTTCTTTCTTTTCCTTTTTCAGTATAAAGTGGACCAAGTAGTAGCACAGGGAATGGACTATGGAAGAACCCTTACAGATTACATCCTAGAAAGTTTGATGAAGCTCAGCTCTACTCTATAACACTTGAGGACAATGGGTTTGGGTTTGGGTTTATGAATCACAATATAATATGGGCATGATGGTTAAATATGTAGATACAGACACCAGGAAAAAAAATACTAATAGTTGGATGTTGTTGCCTCTGAAGGGAAGGGCTCAGACATAAAAAAGGAGCAGCTATAACCAGGATAGTTGTATTTTGTAATAAGTGTATAAGACTATTGGGCTTTTAAAACTATTTGCAGAGATTACTCTGACAAAACTTGCAAAAGGAAACACACATACAAAATGAGTACGAAATGAGGAAATGGAGATTTCTTTCCAGAAGTTTGAAGGTAAGGGGACTTGAGAGAGTGCAGAATAGGGAAAGATATGGGGTAGAGGAAGTTCTTAAGATGAGTGCTAGACTGGCTAGCATGTTAACTCGGGTGATGAAGAGGACAATATGCAAGAAGAGGGAGGTTGGTAAAAGAATGATGAAAACGCGTACACAGAAAGGTGTGCAAGGGCTAAAGGGAATAGACGTAAATAGTGATATATGCACAACCTTAAGGAGCTCTGGTAGTGTAGTGGTTATGAGTCAGGCTGCTAACCTCAAAAGTCAGCAGTTGGAAACTACTAGCCATTCTTCGGGAGAAAGATAAGGCTTTCTGCTCCCATAAAGATTTACAGCTTCGGAAACCCTATACAAGATCGCTATGAGTCAGAACCAACTCCATGGCACATAACCACCACCCTCAGCACAGTGTTCTGCAGGCTGAATGGGTATGGGGGAAGAGTGGGAGTATACCCATAAATATTAAGACTTTGAAGGAGAATATTTGTACATTAGTATTTACCTTTCCTGCAAACACATCTACGAATGTGGTGGAGAACACAAGGGCAAAATGATGAAAGCTTCTTAGATATTATCAAACATCTTAAGGTAATGAATTACTGGACCTGGGGGCTCAGGAAACCATGGTCAATTGGCATAACATAGTCTACAGAGACAAGGTTCTATATCTTACTTTGGTGAGTAGTGTCTGGGGATCTTAAAAGCTCATGAGTGGCCATTTAAGGTGAAGCTGTTGGTCTCTCCATGTGCCAAAGAAAGAAGAGTGCTGAGAATTGAAGATGCACAGAATCAATTAGCCCAATGGACTAATGGAACATGTGAACAATTAGCCCAATGGACTAATGGAACACATCAACATCAGTCCCCATAACTCTGAGACCAGCATTAAAAGGTCCCAGATAGAGTGGGAGAAAATGTGAAACAAAATTCAGAATTACTAAAAAAAAGAAAGAAAAGAAAAAAGACCGGGGTTTTCTGTTAGAAAAAGACTGGAAGAACCTAAGACTATGGCCCTCGGTCTGCAAAGGAGCTCACCATCGTGGCCCAATTTTCAGCCACACAGTAGAATAGGTATGCAGGAGGAACAACAACCCTAGTGAAGTATGTTCACCACACAACATGATCAATCACTCAAAATCGAAAGGACAACATTTACCTGAAGACAAAGTTGAGAAGGGATGGGAAGTTGGGTGGAGCAGAAATCAGAGCCACAGGTAGGAGGCGGGATAACTGGTGTTGCATGAAGGGGATTGTAATCACTGAGATGAAACAAAGCATATGATTTGTTGAATGTAAAACTGATAGTCTTGTCTGTAAACCTTCACTCAATTTATAATTAAAAAAAAAAAGATGGGTCCTAGAAGAACAAGGCTTTTCACAGTGTGGCCAGTGCTCCATGGACACCAGAATGGCCTGCGGAGTTGATTAAAATTCAGATCCCAGCCCTCATCCCAAACATAACTGATTCTGGGATTCTGAGGGGCAGGGCCTAGGCATCTGCATTTTAAATGTTTTTGCATTTTGTTTATTTGTCTCCTTTTTTATTCTGTGAGGATGAACACAGCAAATCACATACATTTCAACTGCGTCTACCTGTTCAACAGCTCAGTGGCACTGATTTTGTTCTTTGAATCACGCATCCTTTTCTGAGTCGTTCCTCCACCAGTAACATAGATTCCATGCCCCCAATGGCACCTAACTAATGTGCCTTGTTGTTGTCATTTTGACCCCTTGGAACCTGCTGCTGTCAAGTCAGTTCTGACTCACAGTGACCGGGCAGGACAGAGTCCATCTGCTCCATGACAGTTTCTGAGGCTGTCAATTTTTATAGACGTCAACTGCTTCATCTGTCTCCTGTAGGGAAATGTTGGAATCTACCAGATGCTCCCAGGAGGAAAATGAAGCAGTTGACTTCTGTAAAGACTGACTGCTCCTTAGGGTTTCTGAGACTCAACATCTCATTTTTTGCCCCCCTATAGTTTGAATCACCAACTTTGTGATTAACAATCTAGTGCTTAATCTACTGTGCCACTAGACCTCCTTTTGATCCCATACAGATAGTTCTTAAAAGAGCATAAAGCTCAAAGGTGACCGTTTTTACCAATTAAGCTAGAAATGGTTACAAATTGGGCTGCGAACCTCAAGGTCAGCAATTCAAAACTACCAGCTGTTCTGCGTGAGAAAGATGAGGCTTTCTGCTCCCACAAAGATTTACAGCCTTGGAAACCCTGTACAGGGTTGCTATGAATCGGAACCGACTCCACAGCACATAACCACCACAACCACCATTGTTCTAAAAGAGTCCTGGTGTGATGCTGTAAGATAAGCACTGAACTGCTAACTACAAGGTCATCAGTTCAAACATACCAGCTACTTCTCGAAATCCTATACAGGGTCACCAAGACTCAGAACAGACTCAGTAGCACTTAACAACAACAACATTGCTCTAAAAAGACTTCAGGGGATACTTTTTATTTGAGGTTTAAAGATTCTCTCAGGGCAAGCATTCCAGGGGTTCTTCCAGTCTCTGTGGCTCCAGAAAGTCTGGAGTCTGTGAGAATTTGAAATTCTATTCCACTTCCTCCCAACCCCCAGGCACTTGCATTTAAATGTTTTCTCCCCTAGGTGATTCCTGTGCACATTGTTCTAGAGCTTCTTTGGAAGAAATAAAAAAAAGGTGGGATAAGGAGAAGAAACCTACAGAGAAGGCAGGAGTGGAAGGAAAACCAGAGCTCAGATGGTAGGACGCTCCCTACATGTAAAACAGGGAGAAATGAGAGAGAGAATGGATGCAGGGAAGACTAGGCACACTGCGCACACATTTACACACTTGGAACTCGTTTCTAGACTCCTGGTGTGGCACTGTAGGATCAGCACTGGATACAAACCACAAAGTCAGACATTCAAACCCACCAGCTTCTCCTTGGAAACTCTATACAGGGTTTCTATGAGTTAGAATCAACTTAACTGCACTTAACAACAACAACACTAAGTCTTTTGCATTTGTGTCATTCTTCCTGTGATATCTGACCTGCCTGGTAGACTGTGAGCTTCATGTAGAATGCACAAAAAAAGTTTGCTGAGTGAACAAGTGAATGCCATGCTCACTATGACATGACATCCAAGTGAAGATGTTACTATAAATTTAAAAAAAGGAAATGTAGGACTGGAGTTCAGGGAATGAGAACAGGCTAGAGTTAGAGATGAGTCTAGAAACCATCTGTAGCGATATTAGTATGAAGCAGTTCAAAATGAGTCTCTAGAACGGCAGGGAGGAAGACGAGAACAGGATGTGTAAGACAGCCTCCTGGGAGAGTTACTGGGATGGAATGGAGGGAGAAGGCAAGAAACAGACATTGGTAGGGGGGAAAAAAAGACATCAAAAGTTCTCCTTATCATTCAACCTAGGCCTCTTCAGTCAGTTCTGCACTTCCCAGTCCATCCTACAGTGGAGTGAAGGAGCTTTATAAATTGCCTGACATGAATTTTACTGGCTAAAAGAGAAACTTTGATAATGTAATGGAGGAGTGCTGGTGGCACAGTGGATTAAGCACTAGATTGTTAACCACAAAGTTGGTTCAAACTAAAGGGGAAACAACGAGACAGGAGAAAGCTGCTCCCAGGAATATGTCGAGCCTCAGAAACCCTAAGGAGCATTCCTACCCTGTCCTGTAGGGCTGTTATGAGTCAATTAATTCACTGGAAGTAGGTAGTGATCAACGAATCTTTATGGAAACAAATCACCAGGTCTTTCTTCTGTGGTGCCAGTGGATGGGTTTGAACTACCAACTTTTACGTTAGTAGCCTCACACAAACCATTTATGCCACCCAGAGACTCCACTGGTAACATTAGAAACAACAACACAACAAAAACCCTCTGCCAAACAAACAAACCCAACTCATAGTAACCCTATATAGGGTTTCCAAGACTGTAAATCTTTAAGGACACAGACACCCTTGTCTTTCTCCCATGGGGTGGCTAGTGGGTTTGAACCTCTGACCTTGTGACTGGCAGTCCAGTGCTGAATACACAGCTCCGCCAGGGCTCACGCCAGGACTGTTGTTATTGTTAAGTGCCATCAAGTCAGTACCAACTCATAGCAACCCTGTATAGGGTTTCTGAGGAGAGGCTGGTGAGTTTGAACCGCCAACTTCATGGTTCAAACAGACCTTGCAGTCCAGTGCATTATTCCGCAGTGCCATACCAGGACTCTGCTAGGAATATAAGAGCCCAGATTTCACGTCTCCTCAAGCTAGTTTCACTCACAGCTTCCATAGCCCTGGGATGTGCTTCTATCAGGGGACGGATTTTAAGAACTGGCTGAAGATTTAAATTTAGGCAACATTTTTAAACAAATATTTTTACTTGTATTGGCTTTAGGCTTTGTGCCTAGCTCTAAATATGGATAAAACGAATAATAACAGTCAATATTGAGTTCAATATTCAATATTATTTCATTGATATTAAAAAGGGAGAAATTGAAACTAGGATTTTCAAGTTAGATACAAAACATTTATTGAGCATCTAGTAAACTCCGGGATTCAAAGGGAAATAAAACATAGCTGCTATCTGTGTCCATACTTGCAGTTGGAAGTTGGAGGGAGGAGACAAAGGTGGATTTGTTTCAAGGAAAAGGTGTGGGTCAGAATTGTGGCTAGAGTTCAGTACTGACTTTCACAGAAATGAGCAAAAAAGAAATTCATCACCTTTGCTTTCAGAAAAAGAATGAGAATTTTCAAGCAGAGTGCCTATCTCCCTCTGACTTTCTGTGGCCCCACATCCTTCTTTGTGATTAACAGATAATTTACTTACCTAGGATTCTCAAGAGAAGCAGCATCTGGAGGCAGGCGGCAGGAGATAACTTTCCTCTCCACATCTTGAAATAATGCACCCGGAAAGTCGTTAGCTAGAATGCCTGGGTTCTAGAGCAGAGGGCAAGTTGATGCCTGGTGTCCCAATGGGACTTGAGTTACGAGAAAAAATGAAAACTCGCCAGAGCCAGGTTCCTGGGAGGACCAAATAAGTTGCTGTAGGTGTGATGGTGGTGGGAACCTGAGTTCCACAAGATGCTCCCACAATCTGTTTTAGCATAAATTTTTTTCTCCCTTGTCTGTAGCTGTGGCATTTATACTTGCTACTGGGCAGGAGAGGCCATAACTTCTAGACCCTCCCTCTCCAAGGAGGGGCCTCTCTAACGCTGTGCGCTCCGACAACTTAGGACTGAAAGAGGAAGGATGTCTCTCAACTTGGAAGGCCAGGGCAGGAATGGGGAGAGAACCAGCCTCATCACACAGCTCTGAGGGCAGGAGAGAATAAGAGATCATGTCTGTCAGGAGACAGGGGCCTGCCCTCAGAGCCAGAGGTGAGCGAGCAGAAATCTGTTTTCTAGGGAATGTATCATTTATTTCTGGAACAGATGCCTTTGTAGGAGTCAGAGGGAAGGGAATGAGGGTAACCAGAGGGTAAAGGGACTGGTCACCCTTAGGGATAGATGAAGAACCTGTCAGTGCCAGGCCAGCGGATGAATCTCAGAAGACTGGCAGAAAAGATCCAGCTTGGTAGACTGACCACTGAGCTAGAAGAAGAGAACTCTGAAAGTCCAAGGGGCTGAAAGGCGAGACCAGATTCTAAAAGAAGGGACTGGATATGGTCTTGCACCAACCTTAATCATACTGTATTCCTTAGGTAGTCTGTCCCCACCACCCAGGTCAGGCTGTGAGTGAGTACCCTGAACCGGGTTCAACTCTGGAGCAAAAGTAAAATTGAGGTTTGGTGAAAATCAACAATTCCAGCCTCTGCCAGTGTGTGGATTGATTCAGGCTCTTCTCTCAGTCTGGATTTTCTCAGACTGCCCTAATAAGAAAGGGCTCACAGGGTGCTTGGAGGATTGAAAGATGAGATGCAAGTGCAAGCAGGACCCAAAGGCACCTTATAGTTTTATTACCCCTATTAAGTGAGGGGAAGTGCACACACCCTGCGGGCAGCAGGACAAAGGAACGTGGACTGGAGCCAGGAACTGGGGCCCAGGGCATATAAGGCTGGGAAGACAGTCAAAGAGCTGCTGTGTGGAGGGCAGATGCTCCCAGCGATGCACAATTAGTTAGTGATCTGGGGAGACCCAACTGGCTAAGTGGAGCCTTGAGGGAAGGAGGCTGAGCAGCAGCCTTTGGGAACCTAGAGCCCCTTGGCGCCAGCACCCTGTCCCCCAGGGCCTGCAACTCTGTTCATCTGCTCCACCCTGGGAAGTGGCCTCCCTCAGGGCGAAAGGAGTGAGCCAATTGAGTAATTTACTAATGAGGGACCAGCTCTTAAGCTTGCTAAAGGATTTCAATGTGACAATTAGCAGAAAGATGGGGAAGAAAGAAGTGAAAGAGGTGAGAAGGTTGACTATGGTCTGTCCTCATGGGCCCATAGTCCTTGTTTGCCAGACTGAGTCTCCCCCCAACACACCCTTTGACCCCCACCTCTGTTGGCTTCTCTGCAGGGGAGGGTTCCTTCAAATTGGATGTTTAGGATTCAAGTGGAGAAGGTGTATGAACAGATTTCAAAAATTCATGGAAAAGAACTTGCCCAGTGAAAGAGGCTTCCTACGGAGCCTTTGTAGTGTATAAGACCTTAGGTGGAATCCTGACCCCCATTCAGAATCTTCTGAGGTGAGAAATTTCCACTTGAAAAGACAAGCAGACCAGCCTAGAGCAGCTAGAGTAGCAGAAGATACTTCTTGAAAGAAAGACAAGCAGGACAAATCAAAGTCTGATTGACTACCATAAGAACAAGCAATTTGTTTGTCCAGGAGCCATCAAGGCAAGCAATCAAATTCCTCCAAGGCAAACCCCCTTCCATGACTGAAACTCAAAAGGTATACACAAGCATACATGTAATCTTTCTGGCCACCATGTTGGTCTACCGATGAGGGGAAGTGGGGGAAAAGCAGCAATGAAGATGTGGGCTGAGTCTGACCATGTTCAATAGAGTCCCGTCAACCTGGAGTGAGACCTGGTTGGCCAACAGTATAGTGAGAACTAGGGACTCCTGAGCCCATGGACAGGGACCTAGCTAGCCACAGAGGGCTAGAGTGGAGAGTGAAGTGTCCAGCTGATATGACATGAGGGGAGATGCACAAGAATACCCATACTTGCAGATAGTATCCATTTGAC